TTTTTTCTTTTCCTATATGCATGTTGACAATGCTCCTATTCCTTTCCCTGTTCATTTTACCAGCCTAAACAATTTAAACTCTTGTAGAAACCCTTCACACGATTCTCCTGGTGATCCTCATGGCTCTGCCTTGCAGGTCTCAACGTCTCACTTCACTGGTATTTGCACTGTATCATTTGATTTTCCTTCATCGTGCTGGTGACTGGCAACAATCCTGAGGTTCTCACAAGTTTTCATTTCCAAAGTATGAGTTCCTTCCTTGTAGCTGAAGTTTTCCTGCTAGTCTCCAAAGGGTGTATCTTCCTTAAGTAAGTACCACATAAATAAATATGCTTAATATACTACATAGTAAGCCACTATACACAGACAAGCGACACTGCTATCACAGCTGAGTTAAATATTTAGCCTCGAGTCTCTATCTGAACGCCTGAATTCAGAAATGAGGTGTACCCCATAAAAAAGCCCCTCAACAGATTTCTTTGCTAGGGATGTTCAGTTCCTCCCTATTATGTAGTAGCAGCTCTTCATGAACAGACACAGTCACTTCTGAATTTGCCCAATTGTTTCTGAAAAGTCAGATTCATATAGCATTACAAACAGTTTTGGAACCTCTTATGGAACAACATTCCTTCACCATAGTCAAAAAACCTCAAACAGCTACCATTACAGTTTTGTAACCACATACTGAAATGAAGTCTCCAGCACAAGACTGAGATTGGCTTAACTATGGTAGTGGTCAAAAGAATTAGAGCGATAAGCTGTGAGTCTATTTGATTCTTTCATAAGTACCTTAAAGCCATCAAGGTACTGAAGTCTATTTTTGTATTCGATAGGTAATAAGCAACAAATATGTTACACTGGGCGGTGGTATATCTTGCTGATATATATACTGTATCTCACCAATAGAGGCCATATGGAAGATCAAACAATGCAATATAAGAGACAAATCCCTGTGATGAGTTGTTTATGTATTTAGCTGAAAACGAAACTAAAAAATGTGGTCTCTCTGCAGCTGCTTTCACTGAAGTTCAGGAAATTTGGATTGTTGAACTACAGGAAGCTTTCATGAGTTGATCAAAAGTAGAATAGATTCTCGTGGAGGCTTTTTTCCATTTTGTTTTTTACATAACTTGTGGCTGTTGTAGAAAGCTTGGTAATTGTTTCGCTCAGGTGCTTTATCTAATTATAGCTACTAAATCAGAAAACTATTTCCCAAAAATGCAATCACATTTTCTTTTTCAAAACACTGAATACTTTTCAGCTACATCACAAGCATCTCACTAGGAAAGGCAACATTTCAAAGCTTTTATTAAATATATATAGGATTTAATGATGCAAAAGTTGCCGCCTCTGTGCAAGCTGGACCATAGCCATCTCTAAAAAGAAAACCACTTTTTTTTTTACTTTCTCTGAGAAAGCAAGATAGGAAAGGACAACTTTAATATATAACCACAGTTCTAGAGTAACCTTCCAGGCCAGACTCGTATGTCTATCTTCTTACCTGCTAATCTTTATTGTCTTGCCAATTTTTTGTGACCTTTTACCATTTACCCCTGGTTTTCAAGTTCTACCTCTCTTCATAAAGAATGCAGATGGCAATGGAGGAACAGAAATGCTTATAGTAGGAAGAAATAGTGGATATGGAAGTAGACACGGTATCCATTTGGAGGGACCCCTTCACTCAAAGAGCGTCTCCAGACTTGGTGCACACACCAAAGGTGGACGCACAGAACAGGGCACATAGACAACTATAGTTCATGAACCTTCTACATTTCCAGGCCCTTATACGGTACTACACTATAGTACTGATACTATATACAACAGTCCCAACTCTTCCCAACATTTATGTTCCAATTATCAATACATAAAGATGACTTCTTTGATACTCTTTTTCTTCCAGCCAGCATTGTGTGTGGCAGAAAATGGTCAACCAGGAACACTAAAAAAATGCAGACACAGACTATGCTCTCACAGTCAGTACCATGTTGTAGCATGTGCAAGAAAGACAAGAATCTTCAAGACTGGTGTCTTACAGCAGCCGTCTCCTCACTGATGCCATCTGCATCCTCCTCTGGGAAATTCCATACTCCCAATTGCTTGTTTGGATTTGGCTTTGTTTAAATTGTTCTACAGTGCAAATGAGACATTTACTGCTTGTGGAGAGCAGGTCTAACAACACTCTTGCTTTTTATTGCATTTTTTCTTCTTAGTGTAAGTAAGTTTGATTTTTGACACTTTGGCTCTCTAACTGCAGCGAAAACGGAAGCCACAGATGTGGAGAGGGGGAAATAAAGTTTTATTAAGTGCAAAAAATGGAACAAAAAATGCAATATAAATAGCTGAAATTGCCCATTACTTCAAACCAACTGTCATGTGAATTCACTTATAAATTGACATATACATGATCAGGTAAATCAGCACAACTGCAGCCTAAAAATGTCATATTAGCAGCTCCTTTTCTCTAGGAACTAGTAAAAGAGAAAGCAGGCATTTCCAAGCCCTGATTAAAGTCAGTAATTCAGGATATAAGAGCACTAAGAACAACATCTGCTGTTAATATGAGGATGCATATCCTTAATTTCCCTTGTCTCCTTTTACCACAGCATAGGCAATGACTATCGGCTATAGAGATTAAATGACTGTGTCACCATACCATCCCGTACAAAAATACTTGCCCTTTTACAGGTATTGAGCAGTCCATTGTACTACATCGGAATGTCTGCTTTGCTGCCATTCAGACAACTTTGGGGTTAGTGCCATTTAGCTTTCAACCTTCCTTACGTATAATCCTCTGATATTATATAAAACCTCAGTGTGGTCAAACTCTGTATGGTCTCACAATCTTCAGGATACAGCTTCATGAGGTATAGCAGGTACATGCAGTCACAGCGTCTCTCCAAGCTGAGGTGAGGGGGCTTTCATGGAAAATTGAACCTCAATTTATAGTAGCTGACACTCATAGAGGATAAGCTCAGTCCAGAGTTTTTAAGAAACCGTGCGGACTATCCGTATTCACATGCGTAGTATAACACCTTTGACACACTAAGTTGTTAGGCAATACATTGATGACAGCATACGAAAAACTATGTGGCTGAGGAGCAAGTTTAACACCAGGAAAGTTATTAACTTTTCTGTCAGTTGTTTGGCCAAGGAATGGATGTGTCCAGTATGTCCAATGGCATTTCTGAAGTAGGGGCCTTCATTATTCCTGCGGGAGAATGTTAAAACTGATCTGTGATTACAAATCACAGGAAACACTGGTAGAGAAGAACTGAACCTTGAAAAAGATCTGGAAATATAGACTCACATATCTACAGAGCAGGAATCCTCTTCAGTAAAAGCTTAAGACAGAGAATGGCTCTTGCCTAAGGGTCACATTTCAAAAGCTCTTTAGTTGCCTGACAGAAAGGGGGAGACCTCTTGGAGCTGCTCTGAAGGACACCACAGATGTGTGCCTTTTTCTTTTGTTCCTCTCAATCTGCGTTTTAACCTGGCAACTGTGTTGTCTCCATTTTGCAAATCCACATTTAGCCTTTAATTTTACCTGAACATCTGTCAGAAACTATACTTGATTACAGGATATTTGACAAAAAACAAGGTAGTTCTTTCTCATTAATCTTGAGACATTGCCATGACACCTAGAACTGTGTTCTCAAGTGCACTGAGAAGGTAATGGAGCTCCTCCACTACAGTTGCATGAATTAAGTGTCAGTGTCAAAGAGATGGCTCCTCAGAACTAGCATTAGTTGAATGTAAGACAATGATGAGAGTGGGCTGAGCCTTGATAGTCTCCTGGCAAACTGACAGAAAATCTTGCAAAATGATTCTCCATTGATTTCTCCCCATCAGTACTAGGAGGGAATACAGTTCCTTCTTATCCAGGAATTTATGTCAGATTGTACTTCTACAGATTGGAGTCTACCTGGACTTCAGCAAAGCCTTCGACACAGTCTCCCATAGCATTCTCCTGGAGAAGCTGGCAGTTCATGGCCTAGATGGGTGTGCTCTTCGCTGGGTTAAAAACTGGCTGGATGGCCGAGCCCAGAGAGTCGTGGTGAATGGAGCTAAATCCAGTTGGCGGCCGGTCACAAGCGGTGTCCCCCAGGGCTCAGTTCTAGGGCCGGTCTTGTTTAATATCTTTATCAACAACCTGGAGAAGGGGATTGAGTGTGCCCTCAGTAAGTTTGCAGATGACACCAAATGGGGTTAGAGTAAAGATCTGCTCGATGGGAGGAGGGCTCTACAGAGACCTGGACAGGCTGGATCTATGGGCTGAGGCCAACTGTATGAGGTTCAACAAGGCCAAGTGCCAGGTCCTGCACTTTGGTCACAACAACCCCAGGCAATGCTACAGGCTTGGGGCAGAGAGCCTGGAAAGCTGCCCAGTGGAAAAAGACCTGGGGGTACTGGTTGACAGCCAGATGAATATGAGCCAGCACTAGGCCCAGGTGGCCAAGAAGGCCAACAGCATCCTGGCTTGTATCGGGAATAGTGTGGCCAGCAGGAGTAGGGAAGTGATAGCGCCCCTGTGCTTGGCCCTGGTAAGGCTGCACCTCAAATACTGTGTTCAGTTTTGGGTCCCTCACTACAAGAAGGACGTTGAGTTGCTGGTGTCCAGAGGAGAGCAACAAAGCTGGTGAGGGGTCTGGAGCACAAGTCTGATGAGGAGCAGCTGAGGGAACTGGGGTTTTTCAGCCTGGAGAAGAAGAGGCTGAGGGGAGACCTTATCGCCCTCTACAGCCGCCTGACCAGGAGGCTGTAGAGAGGTGGGGGGCGGGCTCTTCTCCCCGGTAACGGCAGGTTTAGGTTGGACATTAGGAAAAACTTCTTCACAGGAAGGGTTGTCAGGCACTGGAACAGGCTGCCCAGGGAAGCAGTCGAGTCCCCATCCCTGGAGGTATTTAAAAGACAGGTAGACGAGGTGCTTTAGGGACATGGTTTAGTGGTGGGATGGCAGTGTTAGGTTAATGGTTGGACTGGATGATCTTAAAGGTCTTTTCCAACCTAAACAATAGGCAGCTAATAAGGGAGGATTACCATGGTTTTGAGCAGCATTACCAAGTTTGTTTCAAAAAATACTAAGTACCAATGTTCCAAACGCTTAGGAGTATACAAACATATCAAAGATCTCATTTTCACATAAATGCCTTACATCCCTCAGCTAAAGGTGGTTCAGGGTATAATGCAGATATCAGTGCCCATGAACAAAATACAATTGTCTCTATCCCATTCCCCTTGTCTCCCTGCCAAAATGAGCATTTACATTTTTCTCAGTGAAATAGGAGGATGGAAACAGTCTTTACCATTCCTCTAAATCAATTCCACTTGGCTTGTCTAGACTGCCTATGAGCTAGTAGTGAATACTGTTAACCCAACCAAATCTGCCCTACTCTTCCTAACCTCCCTTTTCTCTGTTTTCACTTGATTTTTCTGCTTGACATTGCCCAAAGTCTCCATGCCAAGTTCTCCAGGGCAGGAGCCATTTGGGTCTACCCCCAAACAGGATCCTTAGAAAATTCCAAAATACAAACCCAAGACCATCTAAATAATAATACTTTGCAAATCCTGATATATTTATTGTGGGGCCTCAGAAAGTATGCAAGTATAACTAATATCATTCTACATTGCAGGAAATCAAAATGTTTTGCATTGTGCTTTGTGCCATGTGGTAAGTCCTAAGCAGAATCAAATTTCTGCTCCTTGTGCAGATCGCTGAGGAAACTCTCTCTGGGATAGCATTTAGCATTGGGGTTAGCATCATCCTAGCCACTATAACAATTTCTACATTCTCAGATCTCAGACTTGGCTTCTTAGGAACACTATCTTCCCAAAGTAAGCGTGCAGTTTGTGTTTTCTAGTAGTTAGCAAAATGCACAGTTTTCTGCAGCACCTTCTCTCTCCAGAATAGTTATATGACTGCATTAAAGTCACAGCCCTCAGTCCGCGGTTGAGCCCCTTCTGAGCCTAGGTCAAGACTATTATAGTGCCTTTTGGGGTTTATCTTGGTAGGCTTCGCTGGCATCAGGTACCGAAGTTTCTTCCAAAATCTGGAATTCACAGGAAGAGATTTATCCTTTTTCCACTTGACAACCCTCTTTGATGGTAAAAGAGACAGTGATTCTGGCAAGAAATTGTAGTCACTTATAGGCATATATTCTATTAATATGATCTTAGTTTTCCTTTCAACTAGGGCTTTATGCAGTCCACTCTCAAGTTCGTATATGGCTTTGTCAGAAACGTAGTTCTGGCTCAGTATAATGATTAATCGTCGACTTTTGTCAATGAATGAATGGATATCATCAACAACCGCTGCAAATTAAAGATAAATGTGTTATTAAACTAAATTGAAAGGATAGGCACTGAATTGACTTATCTTTTAACAATCGCACACATACCAAAAATGTTCCCCTTATAAAGTGACAGCATGGAAGCATCTTGTCTCTAAGAAGAGATTAATGTACATTACAGATTAAGAGGCTGTGAAAATGAGCTCGGGTATGGCCAAAGCTTCTTCTCTGGAGCAGACAAAACCTACATACAATGTCCAGCTACCCTAGACAGCTGTCTGTCATTAGTCACATGGATAGAAGGTGACAGCAAAATTTATTTTTCCTCCAACCAGACATCTCTTTGCTCTTTCACAGTAGATACCATTGGAGTGATTCCACAGAAAGTCACCAAGAGCAACCTCTCTCCAAATATTCAGCAGCTTTTAGGTTACTCCTTCGTTTACATCACCAAATACCCAAGTCTATTGCCAGTAATACAAGGTTGAGAAGACTAGCATGTAATGACAGAATGAGTTCCAACTCTTTTAGATCCATGACTTCTGTCATGACAAGCGATTAATGAAATCAAATGGCGATATCCTTCAAACACCTGTGCATCAAATTGAATTTTCATGCACAACTTCCTGTACTTGCTTCAGCATCACAGGACAACAAGGTCTACAGAAACCAGAGACCTAGAAAACATTCCT